TGATAATAGTAGATTATTTTGTTCAAAATGTGCTTTGAATTTAGCTCTAAAGGGATTAAAAATAGAAGAAACATAGGAGAAATAACCAGAAATTTAAAGATAATAAAGAATATAGGGATTTTAAGAATAGTTAAATGAAGTTTTAAAATAATGTTCAAATAAACTTATTTAGTTACAAAATATAGAAATGAATTCTTCAAAATAATTATTGGAATAAAAAGAAAACTGTCATAAATTCTTTGAATCTGTTATTAATACAGCAAATTAATTGAAACTTACATATTTATCTAAATTTGAAACTGATCACATAACTTAATTGAATTAAATCAAAGAGAAAATAAGTCTAGTTTAATAAATTGACATTTAATTGAAATAATATGAAATTGATATATCAAAAAATCATGAGAATATAGTGAAAAATATGGAAATGAAACCATTTGAGGATATAATGAATAGATATGAAAAAAGAGTATCTTAAACAAAAGAATAACTTCAAGAATTCAATTAAGATTATTTTCAAAAATCAATAAAATTTGAACATAATTAAATATTAGCTGATATGAATAAGATGTGTTATAATTTATTGTTGAAAAGTGAAGATTCTTCTGAATAAGTACCTTAACAAATTAAACATGAAACTAGTACCAAATAACTACAAAAAACTACTAATTCCCCAATAGATATGAGAGTATTTGAATTATTGGAAGGTGAAGATATTTATTAGAGTACTTGTTCAAATCCAATTAAAGATCACATATAATCACCAATTAAAATATCAACTCAATAATAATAATAGTAAAAACTTAAAGTGAATACATATTCTAATCCAGGATCAACAATATAAAATTCAAGAAGAGAGAGTAACACTAATACTCCAGAAAGCTGGTAATTTAAGGCCTGTCTAGATAAGAAAACTCATTAAGTAACTCCAAATGATAGAGATAGTTTTAAACATAACATTAGTGTTGGAGATTAAACAAGTAATATATAATTTAATAATAATTAATTTGAATTAAATGAAAGATATTTTAATTAATAAAATGAAAAGTAAAAAACTATTATTGAAGGTGATAGATTAGATGAAAAGTCGAATTAATAATTAATCAATAATATTAATTAGTTATATATCTAAAAATAAACAAAGGATACTGAAAGAAAAAGTGTTGAAGATAAAGAATTTACACCTAAACATTAGAAGAACTTAACAAATGCAATTCCATAAACTTTTAAATTGTTAACCAATCATGCAAATCAAAAATGTAATTTTTTTTCATTTATTTAAGCTTAATATCAATATCCATTAGTGAATAATAATATATTAGAATAAAAGAGTTAAAAAGAATTCAGTAAAACTAATTATGATTCATAACCACAATAAAAATCATTGACTCCTCTTCATTAAGAACCTTAGTCAAGGATAAATAATCAATAGAATCATAAATAAGATAATAGAAGATCAAATTCAAAATAACCTAAATAACCTTCATTAGATTAAATAGATGGAAAGAGATAATTTATACTTGCTAATATGAATATATAATAATAATACACTTCTTAACCTACTACAAGTGAAGATACTTTAAAAGAAAGAATTCTTAAGGAATTGTGTAGTCATCCTGGAGAATCAGTTTATAATCAAGTATTAAAATTGAATTGTTAATAAAAATTAAAGAATTAAAAATAAATTTCTAAAGAAAATTTTGAATAATCAACAACAGTAAGAATGAAAAATATGAATGGATACTTATGCATTAAAAAATAATCATATTAATAATGAATGATAATTTTATTAATAGAATACTATATATTATAATTAATATATAATTTGAAATTCATACTTCAGTTTAACAAATTGGACATTTCTTTTCATTCAATAACCATTTCTTAATACATTTTGAATGATAATAATGTTTACATTTAAGTTCTCTAATTTTTTCTAATTTTTATATATCATTATAACATATTGAACATCTAAATATATTAATTTAATTTAATACGCATCCTTCTATTTTTGATATACTGTTCTTTTTGGTATTTTCTTTATTTATTCTTTAGTTAATCCACGTGATACATGACCTATTTAATTTTATAACTCTAATAATTCTTCATAGGTCAATCCATCTGTTTAAAACTATTTTTATGGCATCATTGCTTCTTGCATAAATTCATAATATTATTAATGTCTCATTTGTCTCTACATTTCAAGAATTAACATATCTTCAGATGGCTACCTAACTTAATTTTATAATTAGTTATATCTCTATTATAGTTTTTAATAATCTTCTGTAACATTTTTAAGTTATTCTTTAGTAATAAATAATTCAGATTTAAGTAGTTCATTTTCCTAGAATCATATACAATCTTATACTTTTTTTATTTTCTCAAGTTCATTCAGTGACATCACTTTTGATAATGGTTACGTTTATTAATAGGATTATTGTTATTGTTATTATTATTATTACAAATTATTTTTATATGAATCTTCTCTATTAGAGTTGAATTAAGGATTGTTTGTTCTTTAATATTATCCATTTGTTTTACTAAACTTGTTTTTCTAATCATTTTTAGAATCCATAAACAGAAAATTAAATAATTGATAAAATATCAAATGAATTATTCAACTGTTTTAAGGAAGAAATCATTTCCTGGATAAAAACACAATCAAGCAATTAATTTATTAGTTTATGGATGTGAAATTTAAAAAATAGCATCTGGAAATAAATTTGAGAAATTATTCATTTATTTGTCTCATGAAATTAGTTATCATCTTGTTTATATCATAAATCAATATACAAATTATATTGATTTAAGAAAAATTAGATTTATAACTGATGATATTCGAGATACTAAAAAATTCACAGATGATAAATCAGTGTTATTATAAATATTTGTCAATGAAGAATGTTGGTATTTAAAATTTGCAAATTAAACATTAAAAGAATTGTGGTGGCAAGGATTATAATATTTTTATACAAAAGCAAAAGAAGATTTGAAAGAGTATTATTTAATTTTTTTTTATCTAGAAAATTATAAATCCAATTGATGGCTTGGGAAATATTTACTAAATTTGATGAAGATAGAGATGGATTCTTAAATAAGGAAGAATAATAAGCCTTTCTTAATTGGATTAAGATGGTTTATCCTGATAAAAATTTAATAGAAACTAAATGTATTTAATCAAGTTTTTAAAATAAATTAGAATTTAAGTAATTTGAAGTAACATTTCTTATATTATCTAGGAAATAAATAAATTACTATACGAATAATCTATTTTAATTAATTTGAATAAGATGTATCTAAATTCTGAAAATTTACTAACTGAATAAGATTTTAAAAAGTTTATAAATACGGCATAAAGAAAATAATAGACAGATGGATTTTTTGGATTTCCTATGACAGCTGATAAATTTTATGATTTTCTATTCAGTCAATAGAATTCTATTTTTGAAATGGGTAATTCAGATGAGATGACAAAACCTCTATCTCATTATTATATCAATAGTTCCCACAATACTTACCTTACAAAAGATCAATTATCAGGTGATAGTAGTGTAGGTTAATATGTGATTGCATTATTAAATGGATGTAGATGTTTTGAATTAGATTGTTGGGATAGCAATTCTGACAAGAATCCAGTTATATATCATGGATTTACTTTAACATCTAAAATTTTATTTGAAGATGTAATTATGGCCTTAGAAAAATTTGGTTTTATGTTTTCTTCTTATCCAATCATATTATCCTTAGAGTTGCATTGTGATTTTGATCAATAGGAAGTATTAGGATAGATTATGAGAACATAATTTAAAGATGAATTATATATCTATGAATAGGGTCTTACTGTTTTACCTTCCCCAGAGAAATTAAAAAGAAAATTTTTAATAAAAAGTTCAGGTATATTAGAGGAATCTTATAATTTACATTAAAACAATTAAGTGATCCGTAAAAATATGATGAATTTAGAAAATACTAAATTACAAAATACTATATAACTAATATAAATAGATTAAGATCCAGAACCTTGTTTAATAAAAGAAATTGCATAAAAATAAAGAATTAATAATAAAGCTTTAAAAAATCTAAATTATGAAAATAAATAAAAATAATTTATAAGACATGATGCTATTTGTGATTTTAAAATGACAGGTGATTAAGTTGATATGGTAATACATAGTAGTATGAATGTCAAACATCATCCTTAATTTTTAAGTTGTATAAGTTTATTTAATTCCCCTTTTGAATTTAATAATAAGAAAAGAACAATTTGGAATATATCTTCTTTAAGTGAAGATAAAGTGGATTAAATATTTAAGGAAAGAAAAGTAAAAGAAATTTAAAATCATTTAAATAATTCATTAGTAAGGATTTATCCTTCAGGATTAAGAATAAATTCAAGTAATTTTGATCCAATGCCTAGTTTCATTTTAGGTGCTTAAATTATTGCTCTTAATTTCCAAACCAAAGATGAACCTATGTTAATTAATTAAGCAAGGTTTTAATAAAATCTTGGTTGTGGTTATGTACTTAAACCAAAATATTTGACTGAAGGATTAGATGATATAAATAATTTTGAATTTCAAAAAAAATTAATAACAATTTAAATAATCTCTTGTTAATTATTTTTATTAAACACTAAAAATACTGTAAATTCATTTGTAACAGTAAAAGTTAAAGGAAATAAAATTGATGAAAATGGATAAGAATTATAAACTAATATTCAATATAATAATGGATTAAATCCATAATTTGATTCTAATTATTCAAAAATAAATTTTGAGATAAAAGATGTAGATTAAGCTATATTTATATTTAAAGTATTTAATAAATAAGATGATAACAAATGCACTATTATAGGATAATATGCATTACCATATAAAAATATGAGATAAGGATATAGAGCAATACCATTAAAAGATGAAAATTTATTAGTTATGGAATATTGTTATATTTTTGCTCAAATAACCATTTAATGAATATAATAAAATAAAAGGAGTTTATAATCATAATTATTTTTATTTAGAAAAATAAATCTAGACTTTATTGTCTATCCAATCATAAAATTCTTGATTTTCTACATATTTAGGATACCATGGACTTTTAACAAAATTTTATGTAATTTTTTACATTTTCTCAAATAAAGTACTAGCCATCTAAAATATATATTTATTATATACTTTTCTAGCAACCAAAGCTACTAATGCTTTTGGTATATATCTACATTAAGGATCTGAATTAGTAACAGCTCTTACTCTACATTTATTTTCACTGATAGGTGTTAATTCAAATACATAATAATTTAATATCAAATTTACAAATTTTCCTTTATCTTTTGATATGTCTATACTATGTATTTTTAAAAATTCAGGATCATTATCAATAGATTTACAAATAAATACTATAGTACCATTTATATTAAGTCTATCAATTCCTTCTCCAACAAATACAGCTTTTCTGTCAGAAATTAAAGGAAAATAAACCTGTATATCACAGATTTTACAACATTTCCCAATTCTTTTTGGCATTGATGATCTTACACAAAATGGTACATAGTTTTGATATAATTCAATTTCATTAATTAAAGCCATTAATTTAGTTACATTTGCTTCAAATACAGAATCCATAAAAAGAGTAACTGTTGAGTTTTTTGAATCAATTTTATATTTAATGATAAGTGTTTTAGTATTTTTCTCTATAATCCATCCACTAGATTCCAATTCATTAAGATTAATTTACATAGTATTCATTTTATCTTAAATCATATTAACATAATCTCCATATGTTTCATAGAACCAATTCAATAGTAATTCATTATCTTAAAGTTCTATCTTTGCTTATTATATCACATAATAGGCCTATTTATATAAATAGATCTACATCATCTAATTATGCTTCATTATAATAATAATTTTTTGATTAAGTTAATCTTTATTCGGTGACAGCTTTTAAATCAGATAATGGATTCCTTTCAAAATTAATTTATGAAAAGTAACTCTTTTCATCAAATTCTTTTATAACATTTAGTTTATGATCATCTAATTCAGAAAAGCTTTAAATTTTATCTTTATTATGATGTATTAAGACTGATTAGGATCCAACTTATAAGTATTCTTGTTTATCACAATTTTCATTCAAGATGCAACTAACAGCTTTCTTTTATTTTTAAGGTTATTTTTGTTTTTAATTGATTAATTTAGGTAATGCTTATATTTGAATAGGATGGATGACTAATTAAATAAGACATAAAATATACATTCATCATATTCAAATAGCATTTCTTATATTATTAAATCATCTGCTGCCTTTTTTTGAAGATCTTTAAGATTTTAGTAAGTCTAATTTATTGCTATATCCCCAATATTTGATTGTTCTAAAGTTCTGAGTTATTAATTCAACTGAACTAAAAACGTTTGATAAAGGGGATATACAATTTATGCATGATTAAATGCAGTATATTCAGAAATAATTGTTTCAAACTAGATAATAATAATTAAATATTACATAGAACTAAAGCATTTCAAGTGTTTATTAAGATGATAATTATTGATTATCTGCAGGAATTTCAATCATAGATATTTTATAAAATAATAATTATTTAAAATTAAATTATCAAATTCCTTTAAATTCTTATATTATTTTTAATTACTTCAAAAAAATACATGATTTACATTATATTTATAAATGAATCATTATTTTAATATACACAGAATAGGATGTTCACTTGGTTCTATAATATCTTATTTTTTATCGCATAATAAATAAGTTCCAATTTTAATTTGATATTTACAAATTTCCTCTTCTGTAACAGAGATAAATCTCATTAAATCACCTGGATGACATTAAATCTTAATTTAACTATATCTAGTGGAATTAATAGGATTACAGAAACTGCCAAATCTATAACTTTCTTCAAAGATTCCATTTATTTCACCTGTATAATTTAATGGATGATAATATTCAGATGAGAATGTTGTAGTGAATAATCCAAAATTGATTAAAGGTAGTATCATAATATCATAGATCTTCAAACTAATAGATTTCTTATCAAATTCAAAAATAATTGATGAACTTATATTTCTTTTTCTTTACATTTAAAATTGAATTAGTTTGTTTGCTAATCTGATTTCATTACCTTTTCCAATATATAATATATCAATTTGGGTATCTACTATAATCCAATATAATTGATTTATAAGACTACTATTTTAAAATCTAGATTCCATTTAAGTATAATTTCCATTTAGTGTTTTAATAAAAATATTTTATTGTGGTGTTGTAAGTATAGAAATAAAAGTTGTTAAATACATTTCACTTATTATATTAAGAAATAAAGAGCAAGTTATCTCATTATTTAATTAATAAATAGAAAATGTAATTCCCATATATTTTTAATATTGTTATTTTATTTTGTATCCTTATGTTGAATCATTAAATACATGAACTTAAACTAGATCATATTCTAATTTAGTCAAAGATATTAAATCATCTTCATCAAATTCAAATGTATCAACTTAGGGTTGTATTATATCTAATATTTAATTAAATTAACTATTCCTTCGAATAAAACCTATTCCTTCATAATTTAAACCCTTGGTTAATTATTTATCCAAAAATGCAATTCCATTATAATATTAATTAATTCTAAAAGTTTCAACATAACTAAATGATGAAGTAGTATTATCAAAAATAGTAATTGAATCATTAATATTAATCTTATTATCAGTATGAAAAAATAATATATTCTCTATAATTAGAACAGATCCTTTTAATTATTCATAAATAGAATTAGTATCCATTATAATTAAATTTTTGATTTATAAGGGATATTTTTAGTCTTTAATATTTGGTAAGAATCCTGATACTTAAATAGCACAAAAATCAATGATTTTATTTACTTAAACTATATGTATTTTATCTGTTAAAATTAATCCTATACTCTATTGTGAATGAAACATATTTTGAGCTTAGAGATTTAATCCAAAAATAATATTCTTATATTGATAATATTGGTTCTATTTAATAACAGATTTAGATTTTTTTATTTAAATTATCTCAAAATAATCTGAAATGATAACAATATCTGAACATTAAGATAATAATAACAATTCATTATAAATGACTTGAATTACACGAAATGTATATACTTTTTCAGATGTTGAAACATTGAGTTAATATTCGAATTTTTCTGATATTTATAAATTCCTCAATTTGGCCATACATCCTTCAATAATGATTAATCGATCTATCTATTATCGTATTTAATGATAATTAGTATCTAAATAATAGTAAGAATTATGAGGTTCAAACTATGTATAGGAATAATTCTAAGATATAAATAAATTCGAATAACCCAAACTAAAGTCCTCTTTTAACTTAGAATATTAATATAAGTCTTACAATCTTTTACATATTCAACATTGTATTTAAATCATCATACTATCTAACATGTTTTCTGAAACAATATTCATATAAAAATTCTTTTGTTGTATGATGTACACATTAACCTATTAATGGAAATAAAATGTTATTAGCATCATCTTCTGTTAAATTTCTTATAATTGATTATTCATCCACTATAATTGATTTAGAGATTTGAGGTATTGGAATTTGACATAAGACTTTTCTTCCATCTATTATAATTATAAATGCAATACCTTTTAGAGTTATTTCTTTACTAATGGAATCTAAAATGTTTTATATAGCATAAAGTTCAGGGTAATCTCTATAATTATCTTGTACATCCCTCTCTATTGTATGTATTGCATAGGTATTATCTGCATTAAAAGCTTAAGCAATAGTAAATATTAGAAAAATTAACATATTAATGAGTGTGGGATAGGTTCATCCAAGTTGCTCATCTCCAATTGATACTAAAGAATATAAAACAGGATTAGAGTATAATATCTTTTTTACTTGAATAGTTCACTCAAACTATTTAATACAATAAGGTAAAGTAGGCATACATCAAAAGAAACCACTCTCATTATTTCACCTAAACAGTATAGCTAGATTTTATTCAAGTGCAATAAGCAATCGAGCATTTTTAACTCCTAAACGTAGTTAGTTTACTAGTTAAGATTAAATTGTTGAGGAAGATGATTATTTTAGAGATAGAAGAACAAAAAGAAAATTTGATATTGCATCTAGAAGATTAATGATTCTATTGTCCTTTTTTAAGCATATTAATCAAACAAAAGAAACAGATAAAACATCATAACTTAAATAAATTCATAAGAAAAGAAAAAAGCTACCGTTCTATCCAAATTAATTGCAAATTTGGAAATAATTTATGTCAGTGTAAACATTAATTACTTTGATGTTGTATCCAATATACATTAGTCTGTCAGATTATAGTAGTTTAGTATTCATATTAATTATTTTAGGATATTTTGACCATTCTTATTTTAATATTGGATAGTTTTTATTTTATTGATATCATTCTAAAATAAATAACATGTCAAATAGATAAAAATTATAACTTAATTGATACATTCTAAGCCATTTTCTTATTTAATTTATAGAGATGGCTAATATTTGATATACTCAGTATTATCCCATATAAATTATTTGTTAATAATTTTATTGATTAATTATGCTTAAATCTATTAAAATTACTTAGATTTGTTAAATATTTCAGTTACAATGAAAGATAAATATATTAAGAAACCTAAATATCTAAAGATTAATCATAATATTTTGAAAAAATATTTTAACTTGATGGAAAATTATTAAGTATTATTAAAATATTCAAAAATATGCTCATTTTAATAAGTCTATTTGGATGTTTATTTCATTCTGTATTATAATATGATGGAATCTCATAATAAGAAAATAGTTTAAAAATCTATATTTAAGGTTTATATTGGGCTATTCAAACAGTTACTGTTATTGGATATGGAGATGTACCAATCACAACATCTACATAATATAATTTAACAATTATTTGGATTTTTTTAGGTGTAGGATTTTATTCATTAACAATTGGTAATTTAGCAGCAATATTGGAATAACAATCTTCAAATGAAGGTTTTGATGAAGATTTAGAAGCACTTGAAACTCTTATGTCTTAAATTCTTATTCCAGAAGAGTTAAGTGCTTAATTATTTTCCTATTATTATTATAATATTGAAAACAATCCATTTTGGAATTACAAAAAGTATTTAATTTATATAATAAAGATGATAGAATTATTGAAACCTTGCCTTCTCAACTTAAAGTATTTGCTATAGCATTTTGTTAAAAATAATTAATCGAAAATGTAAACATCTTTTCTTTTGATATCAATTTTGCAGCTGCCATTTTACCTCACTTTACTATTTATTGTTTTAAATAATATGAAACAATATATTTTAATGGTTCTCCTAGTCTTGAAGTATTTTTCTTAGTGGCTGGAGAAATCCGTTTATGTGATAAGGATGGTAATACTCTTCTTAATATCCAAGAAGGATATATTTTTGGTGAAATTGAAATATTAGAAGATAGTTATAGAAAATAATCTGCAATAGCTGGTAAGGACTCTGTTGTTATTATGTGTCCTGTATTATAATTCTTATAATTAGTATAAGATGATGAAAAATTATTATTTGAAATTGAATAATTAGGATTAAGAAGAAGACTTTTATTACAAGAAAATATATCTAGAATTAAAAGTATTTAATTATTATTTATATCTTAATAGAAAATGCTAAATAAATAAAAAGAATAAGTGCATTAGATGGTTAATTAATGAATTAATATGTTTCAAAAAAATAATTTTTAGAAAGATAATTTAAAAGAAATATTGTTAAGGATTCTTATTAATAAATACATAAAAAATTAATTAGATTCATTTTTGGATAAAAGTAAGAAAAAAAATGGAAATATCAAGCAATATTTAAAATGGCTGTTAGGAAAATTATTGATCATAGGAAATAAGCATTATTATTATCAAGAAAACCTAGTATGGTATTAGGAAAATAAATGCTATAAAATTTTGCTTAAGTAAGAGAGGATGAAAAGAATCTTTAAAAAAAAATATTGAATAATAAAAAGAGTGGAAAATATTAAAAAAGAGTTAAAATTAAAGATATTTTAAATCATCATAGATAAAGTCGAATTGCACCTATGTTAATCACTCCTTCTCCTTATTATGAAGAAATTATCAGTGAAGTTAAAGAAGAAAAATAATTATTTAAACAAAAATAAAATTTAATTGCCGAGTTATCTAACAAACTTATTAAAATAAATTTAACTGGATAATTAAAAATATTTAATACTTTATATGAAGATCTAATTTAAAGTATTGATATCTTAAATGATATTAAGTATTAAACTATTTAATCTGTAGAAGAAATGGAATCAATATATTATTAAATATCTATATTGATTACATCTATTTTTTGAAAACTTAATCTATATTTTAGTTAAAATTGATAATATTATTACTTTTTAAATTCATTTCTTATCATATTTGTTCAATTATCCATTTAATCTTAAATTTGATATCTATATCACCCTCTTTACCCATTCTTCAATTTCACAAAAACCTCCTTATAATTATCCAACTAAATATTCTGTTAATTTTGATAATG